TATAATTTCGTCATAGTATACCACGACGATAAATAATAACAATATCGGTTAATAACTCCAGCAGCGTATACTAATATAATAATATATTGCTACTATGCGGATCGACTATACTTTCGAGCACTTATATTAATGCAATTATTATTGTTACTACACAACAATAATAAAACGAAGCGACGCTGCATCAGTAGTATATAATATAACGGAGTATATTTTTACATCTATAGATATAGCTGATGATGGCGAATTGTTTTGGACAAAATTTTGTGAAAGTTTTACGACCCTTTTAATTTTTTCGTAGAAAAAGCGCACCATTCGCGTGCTAATGCGATCGTCACCCCCGTCTCGAAAACCCTCCCCGTGCAGATAAATATCTATATATATGTACGTATATTGTACATATTATAGTGCTTCGACTGCAGAAGCTCAGCCAGCACTTTGTCGTACTATGTAATATATATAATAAATAAGTCTTATATATCTGAGCTCGTGTTATAATAAATATAAAATCGACCGGAGGTCTTATATGTGCAGTTTCCCGAAAATCCAAAATTATAGTAAGAGGAGAGAGAGAGAGAGAGAGAGAGATTCCCTTCGCAGAGAGCCGAGAGACTATACAGAAATCTTAATCCTCTCAAACGGGGACCCGAAATAGTGATTTTACTACCACCGAGTCTCGAATCCGCGTACTTTTCCCCGTGCTTGTGTTCGACTTTCATCCGTAAACTACATGTACAGAAAATACACACACGGGTGTGTGTGTGTGTATGTGAGTGATGATCCGTATATATATAATACACACAGCCCTGTATGGCTTAGTGGCATAAAAATATTATACGATCGCCCGTATATAATATACTCTTCGTGCCCGGTATGTGTTTTTATTTCAGAAATGATGCTCGCGAGAGTAGACCAAATTGCTGCCGATCCGACCGAAAAAGCAGTATATAGACATAAAAGGTATACATCAAGTGCGTACATTTATATTCGTATTAAACGGTATACCTAACCTATGTCTACGTGCGTGTACGTGTTTTATGTACGTATATATTATTTTCCAAAGGGTCGTTTCCCCCCCGAACGACATAATGGTCATCGAAAGAAAAATAACGAGATTAGTTCATTAGCTAAATAGCACTAGAAAGCGATAGGATATATTACATATATATTATATATAGACAGATTTAGACATAGACTTATCATGCAATATAAAAAAATGTATACACTGCAGCAAAGTGCCAGATAAAGCGAATATATATAAGAAAAATACATATGATACATTGATATATATATATATATGAGAGTTTAGAGAAAATTCGGACTTTGGCTGAGAGGCCGTAAAGGCACGGTGAATCACTATAACCCTCCAGCAGCGCTGGCGGAGGCGTCGAAAACAAGTGAGCGAAGGTATTATATATTTATATATTATTATTATAGGTACTCGTCTGATTTAGATATTTATACGAATAAATTTAATATTCAAGGCGAAGGAAAAACATTAAACAATACTGATCAATGAACCCTGGGCCTCCGCACCCATTTTTTATAACTATGAGAAAGCGATTTGGCAGGTTAAATTCGTTAATAATATTTAAGAAACCCCAAACAGCTCTCGCGGGTCGGGGGCCTTATTTAAGGAATGGGTACTACTAAACTCTGAATTTTCGATACAATATAATGTAATATATTCCCGTAAGAGTGTGAATGGATATAAAATATTTCATAAGATCCAAATTTCGAGTAGCCCGTGTCCACGCCTGCTGGGCTACCGTCTATAGTTGTACACTTCTATTCATAGGTCAATGAGATCCAGCTGGCTGGACAACTCTGCATATTGTTATAAATACTTATAACGTGAGCGTTGTACTCGAGTAATGTTTATATATTATTATTATATTCGTAAAAACAATTTCGCTTATAATAATAGTTCGTAACGTTTTCCCATGGACGAGCATCAGTGTTTCTCACGGGCGACTTAATACCTATTGATGAGGCATTTCCCGCGCATCTTATTAACGATGACACGTTGATTGGATTGTTTATATCACGCGAAATATAAACTCGTATACGAAATGTATTATATTATACCATTGATTATATACATATTATGTAGGTAATATCATCGCATCATCATCATCATTCGGTGGCGAACCGCGCGGACGTCGAGTGTTTGTCTTTCACAACATATAATAATATAATATTATAAAACAACGGCGAAATTCGGCTCGCACTTGGGTTTTATAAAAATATGTGTACATAATATGTAAATGCGTGCGATGAATCATAGGTACGATATAACACTGTGCTTGCGTATAATAATAATATTGTACATACCGCTGTCCGCAGGTCGTCGTAAAACGAGCGTCCGAACGGATTTATGTCGCCACCATATTATAACGAGCGAAATCCGACGGATCACACGCGAGAGGACGGAGACCATTATTATATTATTATTATTATTGTAATGTCGTCCGATGCGTTCGTATTATTATATTATTATACACCGCGTTATCGCGAGAAACATCTCTGTATCATGTGTATAATAATATAATATAGGTACGATGAACACGTGGGAAACCGATGGCGGCGGCGGCATTGATTAGTGTCTTTCCGATCGGACACACTTGTACACGACACATAATATATACACATACAGGCCATAGTTTTATGTAAATAGACGGCGAGAGATGACTATATTATTCTTATAACGAGTGTAATACATATGTATATTATTATAAGAATACCTATTAGATAAATAAATACCGAGATAGTCGGCTCGGTCACGAAAACCTGCAGCACAAACGCCCAAGTAGGAATAGATAACTTCTATATTATTAAAATAGGGTTTTACGCGATGAGGAGGAGATGGAGGGGGTAAACTCGAGTTAAATGTCTCAACTAAATTCTAAAAAAGAAGTTCTATCTTCAATAATGGATGGATTCTTTACATAAGACTAAATAACCATATACATATATTCAATAGGAGCATCTGCGAGATTCGATTATTGTTAAAATGTAATACATAGGTACAGATTTTAGGCATACTTTTAATGAACAAAATATGCTAACACGACAGTAACATAAGATTACACATTTTCAATAACAGAATAAAATATAGTTAATGTAAATTAAATGTATTATTTAGTAGTATTTAGCTATAACTTATAATAAACAATATTAATGTATATGTATAATGTATATGCGATTAAATTATGTACAATAACACTGCTATATTATAATAGAAGAGTAATCAAAATACTTCTGAAAGTAATAACTGCAATTATTTGAACATGTTAAAAATAGGACATAATTTACATAGACTGTAGGTATAAAGGTATAACGGTCATAAAATTTGTGTAAGTATTCCACAAGAAAACAAAAATCGGGATGATGGTAACACCCCGCATTGCCTCCCCCACACCAATAACACTATTTTAACGATAAACATCAATATAATATAAGCAGGTTTTGATAATAAATACGTACCCAAATATTTTTATATAATATACCATGTACCAAGCTTACAATGTTGCGTGCGTCCAGTGGCGAATAATATTGTTCATTTGTACGCCGACAGTCATGTCACGATGATATTATATAGAATATGAGCCCTGGAAACTCTTAGTATTATCGTATAGTGCGTACAGAGTGGCCACAACGATTTCCTATTTTAACAACGAGAAAACGCTGGAGCACTAACCGTTCCCCCGGAAAATTGGAAACACCATGACATTATACCACTCACAGTTGCAATAATTTAAGAGCACAAGCGTATCGTCACGTACATCGAAATCGGCCCCGGACCTTCGGCGATACGGTGGTCATAGCGGCACACGCACTGCAGCCAGGTGACGACAGCCGGACGATACGAACGTCAGAAAAATATTTTGAAATATTTTAGTAATGAGCGGGCTTCGGGTAAACTGGATGTGTAATAGTGTATGATAATAATAATAACAATATCGCCGCCTCCGGTATCTATTCTTTATTCCCTACAACGCAGCCCAATTCTTCCCATCGACCAGCGCCCATTAAAACTTGGTCACTTTAATAGGTACCTGGTACAGTATATTATATACCTACGTAATATGCTGCTGCAGTAATTGTCCGGGGACGGTCCTACCTGTTTATCGTTGTGGCGACGACGACGATAATATAATACACTATATACGTTATATTTATAGGAAACATTATTATCCGAACAGACGGTCCTGCAAAGTGTATAATATCATTACAGCCATATAGGCACGACTACGTTATAATATCTATCGTTGTTTCGTACAAATTACTTCCACGCGCTACCGCGTGGTGCACGCACTGCGGGCCCGGGAAGGGGTTAATTTATATTCTAGAGCCGTTCAGATATATGTGTATATAATATACAATGTGTGGTTTGTATACATATTGTATGTATATATAGTTTTTATGACGACTCCGCATAATAATATACTCGTGTATTGTACACATATATTGTTTCGGCTATACAATACGCGACCGTCTGAGAAGACGATTTTTTTCCTCAAATATCCGTTCCGGAATTCCTATATGTATAATATGATATAATATATCATTATGCCCGTAGTAGTATATTTCGGCAAAAAATCATCGAATAATACGAAATGTCCGTCACAAAAAATAGAAATAAACGAGAGGGTCGGTATGTGCAATGCGTGCGTGTTATTCCTTTTTTTCTTGCTGCAGGCTCTCGGCAGTTGGGCCGTCGCAAGCAAACCGAAACGAAAAAAAAGGGATGTATAGACGACGAATAATACACACACACACACACACACACATATATATATATTAACATTATGTCGCGCGTATAGGAGTGTTTTTTTTTCGGTCTCCCGCCCACCCTACGCCACTGTGTTCGGCGGCCATTTCGGGGATTCGTCTCGCGTATTGTTCGATGCACGCACACACACACTCAATATTTGTGTGTGTGTGTGTGTGTGTGTGTGTGCGTGTGCGTGTGTGTGTGTGTGTGTGTGCGAGAGTTAGGCATGTCGTTCCCGAGACCGTTGCACCGGCTGCGTCTGGCCGGGCGTTGTAGTCTTTTTTTTTCGAGCCGTGGTATTGAAAATCCGCTAAAAGCCGACGTTTCGTTGTGTTCAGTATATAATATTGTAAAGAGAAAGAAAGCAAAAACTAAAATACCGAAAAAAATATGGTTCCTTGGTCAGCGTATTATGATTTTACTATTATTCGAGACGTTCCGAATGCGCGACTGTATTATACATTATGTGATGCGACAAGTAAGCCTATGTTATATTATATTATATTATGTACCTATTATACCTCTATTATACAAAATTATATTATATTATTATTCACGTATGAAATCTTTGTAACCATTTTTACATAATATTATTATTGTTTAATAGCTACAGGGTGAAAAATCGCACGCGAGCTCGAGATTTGCATATAATATATTTATGACACGATGACTGTATAACTTAGAAAATGTAATGTTTGTTCGGATGCACGATTTTGGATTACCTAAGTGATAGTTCAAAACTTACATCATATTATGTAATCACTAACTGTATTGCGCGCCGTTACAATATAAGCTACTGTATGATGTTTAGCTTTTTTATTCACAACATAAACATATTCTATGTACGGTTTAGAGGTCCATCCGTTTAAGCGCACCGACGCTTTTGAGATTTGTAGAGATGACTTTGGCACTCGTGTCGATTATATATTTTACTTCGTAAGTGATATATAAGTTTACCGCGGCTTAAACCAGATTCGTTACAGCGCATGTATACAGGAACCTGAGGAACCTATAGAAAATAAAAATGTTTATGCGCGTGAATATAGGCTTCTAACGTTTTACTGTAAGTATTTTTCATGTTTTTTACTCGCAATCTCTAATTTAATAAAAATATATCTTACGAGTAAGCTGTTGTATATTATTATATTATATACATTTAATATATGAGTTGCATCATGTGTAGTGCACGTACATAAAACCCTAAAACGCTTTTAGCGAAAGTACATGTGTAATACGAGCGCCCAAAGCACACGCGATTCGCAAAATACTTTGAGCGCACTTTACGATTCGACACTTTACGTAGGTGTGTACTATACAGTGTGGACCAATGTCTACCATCGGGGTATCGTTGTACAGGTTCGATTGCCCTGCACCCTGTATATGTCACTGTGGACTCAATATATTGTCATGAAATCCCTTTATAAAAGTACCTATACGACCCCCTTCAAATCGAATAGCATTATTATTAGATGATATTATAGATATTGTGTATTTTGCAATCGGGTCTTGCATCTCTTTATGCGATATAGAAGCAGACTAGAATAACGAATAAATTGCATCATTGTATTGCTTGCACGTTCGAAACGCCCACCCGGCCTGATGACGTAAACATCGTTGTAAATTCTATGATGTGCATTAAATCTACGTGAAAGGATAATGATCGATGTGTGTACAAGGAGTAGGTAGATGTTGGGTTATTACGAGGATTTCACCGCACTATTTTTTTTTCTCTATTTGATCCACATGCAATATAGGTAGCAAATTTATGTTTAGCAGAACCAAACCTGTGTTGTTACTTTTAATAATGGAGCGAATTCGAGTGTTATAAACTTTAAGTTAAGAACATTACCTTTATCCCCACGTTGGCTATTTTATTATGTTTTAATTATTATATTAGTTATAAGCGTGTAAATTATTACAATTATTTTAAAATGCTTGAAATCGTATACAAATTAAAATATCGTAAAAATTCCAACATGGGGTCACAGGTAATGTGACTTAGCTTAAAGTTTGATAACAGGTGTATTCACTCTAATATTATAGTAATAGTTGTACAGGTTTGGTTCTGTCTAAACGTAAATTTGCTATATTACGGGTGGGTCAGAGAGAGAATATAAATGGTGCCTTGATTTCCTCTTAATGTTTTACTTGGGCAGTTGGACGTTAAATTATTTGAATGTGTTTTGTTTTTCAACTTTAAAGTGGCACACATATTCTTGTATACTCGTATGGGCGCTGTTGGTCATTTTTAGCGGTTTGACGACGTGCGGGTCAAAAGTGTAAAAGAATATGTTATATAAAATATAGTGCATTGGTCGATAGTCACCCCGTACGTTCGGCGGCGGCGTGGTTCAAGAAGAAATCGAACCTTCGAAGATCGGCGAACGATGATGTGGTGTCCCGATATAAACATATTATTATATTATTCCATCTCGTTTTTGCCGTTCGCGGGAGCCATTATACCTACAAGCGCGGCAAGTTCGGCGGGATGTAGTCGAGAAGAAAAAAACCGTCGGAATTTACATACATATATATACGCATTATTATTATTACACGTAATATATTTTATTTTTAATCCGATTTTCTGTCACGACGCGATGTTATATAAACATAAAATAATAATATTATGTATTATTCATGTATCGATGTATAGGTACGACGCCGCCGCCGCACAGCATCACGTCTATTATTAAACCTATACATATGTCCTGTACATTATACATATAATATTATTATAATTATATTATGCGCCGCCGTATCGTGAATACGACGGAGTGACATCTCGAAGTGTGAGCGTTTGTGTTTTTTCCCGTCCATTTAATATATACGTCTAATTAAGATATTTTCGAAATCTCATAGAAGATAGGTGCTGGCGACAATCCTATATTATACAGTCCGCCATACTATATATAGGTACAAGCGAGCGCGTTTACGGTATACGATTTCCAATCAAGCGCGTCCGTTATACATTAGATGATGCATATAATAATAATAATATATTCTACAATTTAGTCGTAACGTTATATGTATAATATGTATCGTTTTAATAAATGGGCTTCAGTATGTGGCGGTCGACCACAGGTAATATGTATATTATAGGTACCACGGTCGAAGGCGATGGGGGAGGGTCGCGTGCAGCGTTCAGTTGTGGGGTTTCCAGAGGGGGTATCGGTGAAGGGGTGGTAGGAGGTGGTGGGGAGGGGTGAACCTGAGACGGATTTTTTATTCAAATTCGACGGACGCTCTGCACGTCCGCGTAAACGCATAATCACGCATACCTCTAGAGAAGATTCCGGTTTTTTAGGCGACGACATCGTAATATGACGTCCCTATCTCTCTCTCTCTCTCTCTCTCTCTGTCTCTCTCTCTGTGTATATATATATATGTGTGTGTTATTATAATATATTGTTATCTTTAAATCACAAAATATTATAATATAGCTGGTATAATGTTGACTGCGCCAAAGTTCTAAAATTAAAATGATATAGGTACATATAGTATGCGCAAGTATTATGTAGTGCTTTGCAAGACGTACCGCATTATTGGTCGGAGCCATTGCGCCGACGTCGTTATTATACTTATAAATTAATATAATGGTAAGATACTCGGCAGTGGGTGCCCGTTTGTACATGTATAAATGTATAATGTATATAAATATTAAATATAATATATATTATTATTAGTATTTATTACCTATTCGTATAGTAAATAATTTAATAATAATATGTAGATATTATAATAATATAATGTATACTTCACGCGTTACCTGCTGCACCATGGTTAAAATGTTTATTATAATAATATAAAGTTTTCCACTTTTTTTTTTTTAATTAACAGCCTAACAACTCCCCTTTCTCGTATCTGCCTCTCCGCCGGTTAAAGTATCACGACGACAATATGATATATAATAATAATAATAACTATTATTACCTATGCTGCATGGCACTATAATAATCTAATATGATATCTGTGAATTCGTGTAGTACGCCAAGTACAATATTATATATTATATAACGACCAGACCGCACGCTCGACGTCGTGCAATTCGCTCGTATTTTTGGCGGTTTTGTTTTTCGCCCTTTTTTATCATTTGCGCAGTAACTTGGTTGCAGACGTTAGGCACGCGATAAGAAAACGCGCATGTCACGAGGGTAACGCTTGAAATTAATGAGTTGAAAAGTTAAAAGCCGCGAGTCACCGCTGCAGAAGTTTTTTTCCGAGACTTTTGACAGCAACAAAATAATAATTATTACATCGCTACGTGTATATATTATTTAATGTACTACTACATAAATAATGTAAGCCGTAACGGACGGCCATTTTACACTCGACGAAGTCACTCGGGATAATGTATATTTTAAATTTTTTTAACGTATTTTATAATGGCAAAAAACATCTATTTTTCTTTACGTTCCAATTAAAAAAAAAATTACAAAGAATAGTTAATAATACATACTTATAGAATATTATATGTATAATATATGTTCGATAATAATAATGATTTCCATTCTATAATTGCCATACAAAAATCGTGGTGAAATGACATAATAAGTGGCTTCGCTTATATCAACAGTTATACATAATAATTGTAGAATAAACATCAACTTGTGACTGCTGATGACTATATAATAAAGGTCATATTCATAGTCGATGCTTATAAGAATAAGTATTGCAGCTTAAGCTTTACATAAGACTCAAATGAGATTCATAAATCATAAACAAGACTTTGGTTTAAGAAAAGAAAAAGTATTAGTTTTTAAGGTTGGTCGAGACCTGTACCTTAAGCATTGTTTTTACTTTTTACTTTTAAATTATTAAAAATAGCTTAAGTCGTACTGATTCTTAAGCATTAACTATTAAAATAAGGCTCTAAAATCATATAAAGTATCCAACAGTAGTGCCCTATAAAGGTACCGTCTATGGCAGAAGCTAGTATTAAAGCTATTGTAAACGTTAGTTCTATAAGACGTTTAATAGAATGTTAAATTACGAAAAAAAAAATGAGGTAAAGGTGTTTGGTAACATATTTTTGTTTGATCATAAAATATTGAACTTAATAACTTTATAGTTTGCACATAGGTATTATACTGGTTATCTTTATCGATACTTTAGGTTTACCTACATGTAACTATTGAAAATATAGGTAGTAAGTAAGATTATATCCTTTAATAATGTTCAAATTGTAATTATTGTAAAACTGCAAGCTTAGATAACTAAGGACGGAAAACTCAATAAATAAAACCAATAATTTATTTCAATGGAACGTGACTTGTAACTGCAGTTGTACCTATATAGAAATGTTTCAATTTACTCATAATTCGGTATGGGCGTAATACAAGAACAATTACTATCAATATTATAGACGTCCAAAGTAAATGTGTGAATATGTCTGGTGCGTACAACTCCGTTAGGTCAGAAACAAATAACAATGATTCTCGTTGAATATTAATTAATAATCAGTTTATTTTACATAACACC